TGTGCTTGTGGTTGTAGTTGTACTTGTGGTAGTAGTTGTTGTTGTAGTTGTGGTAGTTGTAGTTGTTGTTGTTGATGTAGTTGAGGTTGTTGCTGTTGTTGATGTGGTTGAGGCTGTTGTTGTTGTTGTTGTCATTGTTGTAGCTGTTATTATTATAATTGTGGTTGTTTCCGTAGTTATTGTCGTTGATGTTGATGACGTTATCGGTCCTGTATGAATCAAGAAGATTGAATGAGATTTTCTTGATACCTCATCACTTCTCTGTCGATTAACTGTATATCTGCCTTTAAATAGATTCGTATGGATTTCCTAATCTCTCCTCATTTATAATATTTATTTATAATTATGTTTCTATTACGACAACTGAAATAAACCAGTTGACACACTGTCAATCAGTACTCAAATTTTTTCAAATCTTGTTTATTGACTCAAATGATATTATTCTCTGAAAATTTTCGAGAAAACTATATCTTTTACAAATAATAAAACTTATGAAATAGCTATTTAATGCCAAGTAACTACTTTATTTTTGTAAAATGGAATCTTTTTATTCATGGCTATATTATGTAAAGTTTGCTTAGTAAAGCACGGTGCTTTATTGCAATAACTAATATCATCATTCAAGTATAGAAGCGAAGTCTAAATTCTTAAACTCTAAAAGTTTCGAATTTGGATTTCGCGCTGTAACATATCCGAATAGCTTGACTTAAAATGGAGCGTCACATTCGGATATCTTCTATTACCCGTAAATCTATGCATATACTCTCTCAATATTCACGATAAAAATAGTCACTATCTGATCTAGAAGTGCTGTTTTTCTTATATAAGATTTCAGATTCCTACATTTATTTTCCAATCGTATTCGCATCGAAAACTATTCAAAATAATTTCTAGGTTCCATTTAAAAGCGCCTACGCTATTAAAAAAGTGATAAGAAAATCAGTCTACTCACCGATAACAACACCATTGGAACTGGTATCAATATTATTATTCCCGTTGGGATAAGATTGAACGTGGCAAAGCTCTAAAGATAAGCTGCTTCCATCGTCTGTTGGGATACTGATATCGGTCATCTTATTGAATTTTTCATGAATACTGGTATATAAATCGATTTGATAGGTCACGTTTTGGCATGGCAAACTTGATGGACAATTTAAGTCAATACTAAAGATGATAGCGGGACCTGAACTATCGGTTTTATCACATTGAAGGCTATATATAAATTCATAGGTAAATATGACTAGTAGAAATAAATTAAAAAGAAAATTACTCGCGGCGACGTCGACCTTTGGCAATGGTTGCTAGTGCACTACTGATGGCTTTAACGGTGATGGTACCTATGGGTGCATTGACTGCTTCTTGCAGCTAAAATATATTACATAATAGCAGCTAACATTAAAAATAAAAATTACGGAAGTGGCGGTTGCTACTCGGTTGGTGACCGATAGCGTAGCACGCTTTCTCGCGAATCCAGCTGGCAACAGGTAGGAAGCATCAAGCGAAGTAAGTGCATTCCCTACAAAAAATTAGATACGTGTAAGATAAAAGCAATAAATACACACTAACTAGTGGCCAGTGACGTGTTGATGCTGGCAGTGTTATTGTTGTTCGTGATGCTAAAATTTGTTGTTGATACATAAAGCGGAATCAGCGAAATAACAATTGTGCATGCGACAGCAAATAATGCCACTGCGAATAGACCAGGTATATAAAACCTATAGAATTAGTAAAAGATGACAAAGTTCATCAAATGCACTCAAAACTCACGTTCGAGAACGTCTTAAATGTAAATGAGCCATAGCTTAGCGCCAATTAAAAGGGTATTGTCTTGAAATCAGGACTGATCTGAAATAAATTTCTGTTATGAAAATTAAATGGTGAAGAGAAGTCAATCCGATAGTTTCTGATTGTAAGCGAAATCCTAGCTCACAACTGTCATCATCCTAGTTCGAACTGTTCACATAGACACCCTTACCAATCCAAACTGGGTTGACGATGTTCAAAAAACGCCCATAAACAGCTACCAATTAAGATTCATTGATCGCCTAAATATATGATAGGGAAGGTGATTTTGTGGCAAAATGATTTATTTTAAAATAAATAAATTTTTCAAAAAGACAATCAGTTTATATTATTACTAGAGGAGTTTAGCGGATGCCAGTTTATGTCTCACTATTGTCAGCATCTCACTACAAACTCACCTACACCCAAATACAGAGGATACAGAATCTGACTTAATACCCAAGCAGACGAAGAATTAGTTTAGTTGAGAGTGATGCATAATATCCTACTATCGAAGTAGAGCTAGAATAATAGCCGGTTGTGATAATATATGATATGTTTTTAGTCTCTTGTGTAGGTCCTGTCTACTACTTTGTAACAAAGGGTGAAGATGAAGTAGGAAATCTAAAAACGATGGTTCGCTTTTAATCGAGTTAAAATATATTAGATACTGTCATTAGATAAATCTGATGATCTAGAAAAATCGCAATAGTTATTCATGTATTTATAGTACTTCTAAATAGAGTAACAATTCTAAGTATGAATGATATCGTTTGAATGGTATAAACTAAATACAAAGGATATAGAAGTAATTACCTTGAAATAATATTCAAACACGATAGAAGTCGTAGCAGAATAATGGAGTATACGAGTTTTGAATTTAATTGAAAGCAAATAACTGAACGAATATGTAAAGAGCATACGCTTTTATATTTTCCTTTTTATACGCTTCACTGATGCATAAATAATAATTTTCATTTTTTTTTCTTATATTTTATCTCATTAAAAAAGCAAGCAAACAATTAAGCAAATTGGAAAATATGTATTTTTGTTTTTATTCATATATGTAACGCTAATTGCTTATAATTATTTTAGATAGGAAAAATAAATGTAAGTGATTGATCAATTATCTTACATGAATAAATATTTTTTTAAATGTATATAAATCTAATTACTTATAATTGTTGTAGATAGGAAAAATAAATGTGAGATAGTAATTGATCATTTATCTCACAGGAATAAAATATAATTGCTGTTGTCCTACATAAATAAAATATAATTGCTGTTGTTCTACTTAAATAAAATATGACTGACCATTTTGTCTTATATAATTAAAATATACGTAGGTAGTCATATTCAATAGCATGTAATTGGACGACGTTTTTTTCTCATGTATGTAACACTAACTGCTTATAATTAATGTGGATAGGAAAAATAAATGTGAGTAATCGATCATTTGTCTTACAGGAATAAAATATATGTAGGTAGTCATATTCGAAAGCTTGTTGTTGGACAATATCTTTTCCTTATTTTACGTATAACTATTGTATGTTATGATTATGACAGTTCTCAAAAATATTCACTCGTTAACAGACAAAAACGAATATTTTGGAAGTATTTTGCTACTAGTAGGAAGGAAGAGTTATTTCATATGACATTTTTAAGACTTATATTGTTCAGATTCAGAAATTATTATATATAAAACACAGACTTGATCAGCGAAGTTTTTGTATTAATTTAGGACTATGCTAGGTAGGTTCTTTGTTGCACGTTATGAGAGAGCATATGAGTCAAGAATTACTTATTTTCAGAAGAATATTAGCATGTTTTTATAGTTAGTTTAAAATACTACACGATAAATAGTTAAAGTCTAAATAAAACTGGATAGATGGTTCCGAATTAAAACTGACCGGTGATCTATTTGTGAGTGTGACAAGTTCTTTTTTCTGAAGAATAGAATGAAGTAATCCGATTATTTTAAAAGAAAGCATAGATAAACTTACTAGTTATAAAATAAGACGGTCAATGCTGTTCGTCAAAAAAAATAATTTAAAAAATCTCATTCCAACAAATAAAACTACTTTTGAATAAGATTTGTCATATACACATTGTTTTGCCTCACAGAAATAATTCTTGATTTGACAATATGATTTAGTAATTTTTTAATAATCGAAAAAACTTCGTACTACATTTTTGCATACAAACTCAACTCGTGTCTCATCTAGTTAAATAAGTAGCGCAAAACGTATAGCAACATAATTTTTTAACTATACAATTAAAATACAGATAATAAACAAAAGTACTTTCAGACATAATGTAGTAATGAATAAAACTTCATTGTGCCAGAAAATATCGATCAATATCAATATTGTCGAGTAGCATTGGTCTTAATCTAGATTCTCAATTCATACACTTATGCATTTATCACATTACAAAGATATTATGATGTACGAGAAAAGATAAATATATAAAATTAATTCAACAATTGAAGAGTTGATTTATTAAATTTCGTACGATTTCTATGAACCTTGTCTAGATATGAACACTTGAATGAACTCAATGTATGTTGAATTTTAAATTCTTTCGTTTATTTCTTGTTTAAAAAAAAATCACTACAATAATGTAAAAAATTTTAAATCAAATATATTATGATGATAAATCTAAATGTTCAGAAATAAAAAGAATGGTATTAACGAATATATCACTAGCATTGGGTACTTCACTAAGTGAATGATTACTATCATAAACATATAATTTTGTTGGAATCTTTCTAGCTTTTAAACATTCATAATAACGAAGACCAATACTATATGGTACACGCCGATCTTTCTTTCCTAAATGTAATAAAACTGGTGTTTTAACTTGATCAATAAGACGAATTGATGATCTTTCAATAAGATATGTAATAAGTGCTGTATCCATAAAAAGATTACGACCAGTTTCAAAATCAAATTGTGCATTCGTTGATTGAGCTATAGCCCAATCAGGTATATCCGATGTTGCATAAACATGAAGTAGATCAGTAACTGGATTTCGTAAAACAGCAACTGCATATTCATCTGGATATTCTCCAATAAGACGGCCAATAATTACACCTGCATGTGATCCACCTATGAGTACAACTGGTCGACTTGGTTCAGTATACTTGAGACAACGTTGAATAGCTTCATGACAATCTCCAACATCAGTTTTAGATATATTACCTAATAACTTGTCAATTGAAGCCTGTCCAAAACCAAGTGAACCTCGATAATTAACAATAAGAAGATCAAAACCTAATCCAATATAAGCAACAACACCAACATAATAATCCACTAGAATAAGATTTTTGAAAAATAAATGTAAACTATCAAATAATTATTAATAACTTACAAGAGATGACTGAATTTGGTCCACCATGTATTAATACCATTAAAGGACGTTTTGCTTGTGTATCACGTGTATGAACATAAATTGATTCAACAGGGATTGTTTCATTATCAGGAAAAAATCGATCAATATTCCATACAACTTGATTTTTCTCTTCTTTTTTAAATTCATGTTGAACAATTAAATGCCAACCATTATTATCTTTATCGGTTTTATTCAATGTTTTCAAATCATAGATATAGAATCGATAAGGTGTACGACAATCAACAATATTAACTGCAACATAATGACCAAATATAGCAAGACCATTTATAGACGTATCAACACCCAATGGTGAATCAAGTAAAATCATTTTTTGTTCAGTAAAATCATAAATATATAGAACATTACGTGAACCAGATACCGAACGAAGAAGAAGATAACGTCCATCACAAGAATAACATAAATGTGGAAGTGGTAGATAAAGACCTTTAAATTGTGTATCCCATTCAGCTGTAAATGGATCAGTATTTACATTCGAATATTTAACATTATCGACTCGATCAATTAAAATTTTTTCTTCTTTTGTTTGTGTATTAAATAATATTAATCGTTGACATTGTTTATGTGCTCCATTAATATCACTTTGAAGATAAACAAATTGATTATCTGTTTTAGGTAAATGTCGTGGAAATAATCGACAGATTTTATCAAATTCAGTTAATTGTATCCATTCATTAGTACGCCAATTACATTTAAAAAAAGCTGATGAACGATTTTCACAAAAAATTAAACCAAGTCGATAAGGTTCAAGAGGAAATGCAACTAAAATAACTTCATCTTGATTTGTTGTCCATGTACATTGACCAAAATATAAATCTTTTGGATGATTTTCAATTAATTTAACTTGTTTTGTATCAACATCAAATACACAAACAACACATGTTTCCAATGTCTCCATTTGTTCACCCCAATTTTCACGATATGTACTAAATGATTCTCCGAGATCATCAAGTTTTTCAGCTGTAAAATAGGATTTAAATGGTTTACGTTTTTCTTCAGCTGTAAAAATTAATCGACGTGAATCAGGACTCCATTCAAAAAAACTTGCATAATCATTTTTAGGTAAAACTTTTCCATGTGGTGATATTTTACTATCACTAACTTCATAACCAAATATTAAATGTTCATCATGCCATATTTGTACATAATTTAATTCTTGTTCGCCTTTCATTTCTTTTGTTACTAATGCAAGATATTTTCCATCAGGAGAAACAAGACGACGAACAATATTTTTATTTATTGTTGTTACATTACTTGTAAATAAAAGTTGACGAGTTTTTAATGAATAAGTAAATGAACGAGTATAAGTTAGATTTTCTAATTTAACAAGATCCATTGTTGAAAAATAGGGTGTTAAATGAAGAATTTCATCATTTGAATCTTGATGGCAAGATTCAATATCAGATAGAGTTGGTTGACCAGCATAATGACGATATGTTTCAATAGCTGATGTTAAAATTTTATTATCTGTTGTTGGTGTTGGTGTTGTCATTTTCAATCTGAAAAGTAATTGAAACTAGAGTTACCTCAAATATGAGTAAGATATCAAAATATATCGAATTCCTTAGGCTTTCGTATAATTCTTTTGTCCTAAAGTATCTTTAACAAATTGAAAATAACTTCACCATGGAATCTCATTACCTCTATGCTAGCTAAAAGTAAAGGCTATGGAACATCAAGATTAAGATATAAATAAATAAAATCGTCTTGTACTACGTTCAATCGATTATGTGCTCCATTATTTGAGGATGTGGATCTGGATCTGAGCGTATCGTTCTTCTTTTATCCTCGCTCTTAACCGCACACCCACTATTAATTAATACATGCACTAACCGATCATCTGATAAATTCTTACAACTTATTAAACGTGTTAAATGTTGTTTTAAATTAAATTGTTTAACAAACAATTGTCGAGTAGAAAACAGTAAGTGATGCATAACATACATTTTTTCATATCTAAAATGACTATCTAAAAATAATCAATACAGTAATAGATGTGCTCTCAAATTTTAGATGTTAATAGAATATGTTCTGGATTAGGTACAAGACGCCATAATAATTCATGCTCTGATATATTATTTTTTTCATGATTTTTCTGTTTTGAATTAGCTGGTATCAAAGTTTTGACTATTTCAACTACATCTTTTGCACAACCCCATGAAAGTGTTACACCTGAACCAGAATGGCCATAACAATGTACAATATCTATTCCATCATTTGTTTTTTCATGTTCAAGACGTACACCATTATCTCGATAAGGTCTTAATCCAACTTGTACTTTTCCCTTATGAATATCTTCAAGAGCCGGTAAACATTTTATACATGTACGAAGAATCTTTTGAGTATCATTTTCATCTATATTTGTATTCCAATCATTTAATTGAAACGTTCCACCTAATACAACCGAATCAGCTTGTGGTATAATATAACCCATACCATCATCTGTATCAAATACATAAACTGATTTAATCCATGGTGCATGAACACGAATAATCTAAGTAAAAGAAAAATATTGAAGTTCCAGTAAAAAGATGATTCAATTAAAATATACTTGTCCACGTGCTGGTCGAACTGTTTCATCATCAGCTAAATATTTTGAAGCTATACCTGAGCAATTAATAATAACATCAGCTGTATTTTTTAATTCATTGAATGAATGAATCTTCTTTTTTATAATCTTAACTCGATTATTTTGTGAAAGAAACCGTTGTAATTCCAATAAGTATTTCTTCACTTCAACAGTAATTGTTGACATAACAAAACCTGATGTTGGTTTCAAATGATCAAATATATTAATTTCATGTTTATCTAACCATCGAAAATGTCGAACTAATTCTGCTTGTGCCGGTTTTACAAGTGTTGTATGATCAATTTCATCTGAATTTTGATTATTATAACCATGAAGTATATATGCTGAAATTTTCATAATACCAGCACGAGCAGCTTTAGTAGAAAAATATTCACTAAGAAATATATCATATGTATAACCAGCTCGACGAAGTGTCTGTTCATCAATATTTTCTATTCCATATATCTCCCAAAGTCCAGCTGAAATATCAGCAGTTGTATCAGGTGTAAATGTTTCACTGATTATTGTTAATTGAAGATTATCATTTGTCGAATATTCTTTTAATAGAGTACAAGCTGTTGTTAAACCAATAATACCAGCACCGATAATTGTTACTCGATGGATTTTATTTAAATGTGACATAGTATTAAGTATGAAACAAAAACAAAAATATAAAGGTAACTTGATTATTTGCCATTATATAACATACAATATAGGTTATACATTAACCAATCGAAAACTTTGAGTGATAAGAAAGAAAATATAGATATATTGTTTTATCCTATTATTATACAACACTTTTTTACTGATATAAAATTTAATCGAATATACAAAAACATATGATTAACTTATTTCATTAGGACAATGAGATTACTGATTTTTCATGAATGAAATATTATCAATATGAATTATATGTCATCATTAATAATTCCATAAAAATGATACTATCATATCTACAAAAGAGTAATTATATAAAACAAATCTTTTTCTAACTTAGAAACATATTCATTTCTAAACAGAACTCAGTATTTCTTTCAGTTTCATATCTTAATTATATAACATAAAAAACAATATTTTAATTAAATACAAGATTATATACAAAACACATTCCTTTATTTTTATGTTATGACACGAAAATTAGAATTAAATATCATACAAATATAAATAAAATATGATTGAAAGATAAACAACAAAATTTTATTCAATAAGACCATGATTAGCAAGTGAACGAGTTAAGAATGATGTTGTAGCACCAAGTTTAAATCGTTTACTACCTAATGTTTGTACAGGTGCAACTAGAAAGAAAACGAAATTTATATTTACTAATTTTAATAATATTCAATTTCTTACCATTAGGTTTTAGTTCTTCAACGTCTTTATAAGAAAACAATCCTGTTGGTCTTTGAATCTGTTGGTTAACATTTAACATTTGTACTTTTCGAGTTACATTGGGTTCATTATCCTCCTCCTCCTCATCATCATCCTCTCGTGTTCTTTTAAGTGGACTGATCATAACCGTTCGTCGTGGTGTTATCGTAACATTATTATTATCCATAAGAGAAACTTGTCGTTTCATGTTTGTACGTAAATCAATTTGGCTATCAACAACAGTTGATATTGGTTCGATTTTCTTTTTTATTGTTACAAATGGATTAACAAGTTTAGTTGCTAAATTTGTCATTTTTTTACCAATTAATGATGTTTGTCGTTGAAATAATGATGTTGTAGAATCAAGTCGTTTAAGTTGATCATTTCCAAGAGAAACTTTCTTTTGTAATGATATTGTGTCTATTAGAAAATAAGAAATTTTAAAAATAGAAATAAATAAAAATAAAAAAAACCTGAAAGTGATTTTATTGTTCGCATTCCATGAATTGATGTCGATGGAGGTTTTTTAAATACACCTTGATATTCAAGTGAAGACGATGATAATGTTGTTTGAATTTTTCCATTATCATCAACAGTAAGAATTTTTTCATTTGAATCATTTAAATGACCAAAATTACGTTTTCGTATGTCATTAACTGGTTCAGCATATGGATAAATAACTGAAGTTGGACCTAATTTAAATTAAATTATATTTTTTATTAGAAATAAAAAATTTTCAACTAACGATCATTGAATGATATTCGAGATAGTAATGCTGGTGAGAGATTACACGTTGATTTTGATAATGTATTAGAATTTAATGGTTTAGCTTGATCATCACCAATCCAAGATTCGATAACACGGTTAGCAACTAAATATATTTAATAAGAAAAAAAGAAATAATAACTCATATTTAATTTGTTCAACATACCAGCTGAACGTCTTTTGAATTCAAATGGTTGATTAGCTTTATCATCTAATAGACGAGCTTGTTTTATCAAGCGACTACGATCAGCTTGATCAATTATGCCTAGTTTATTTAAATCATTTTCATTAGCTGTTAAAAATTCTTCAATTGTAGAAAATCGATCAGCTAATGCCATACTATATTTTAGAATTGTGCTATTATTAACTGTAAGATTTGAATCACGTACAAATTTAAGCCAAAATGACATGTCTATATGAGATAATAGAAAATATTTGTTATATAGAAGAATTAATTATTATTTACCGGATGTTAATCGATCGGTCATAGTTTTTTAGTGTTTTAATAAAAAAAAAAAATAAAGAAAACTGAACAAAGAGCTGTTGGCAATCATAAAAGAATGAAAGTTAACCAATTAAGGATAATCTATGGTAGAGGTCGCTGTCTAATACGAAGACATTCGATTTCAAAAAGGGTATGTTAATAAGCTTTTTAGATCTTATAACGTATCTCATCATAGAATGCTTTAAAATCTTATTTTTATCCTGATGCTATAAATTTCAGCAAGTGAAATATTTTAGTATTGAGTAAAATGTATTTGGAAAACAATTGAAAAATTTAGTTTAATCGTTGTTTTATTACCAAACGATATGCATAGAATTCTAATAGTATGTGGTATTTTATTTTTACTCAGTTTTTTTCATAAGAATAATGTCAAGATTTTTATCAACAAACCAGATTCTTCTTATCTATAACACGTAATGTTTGACATGACGCTATGTGTAAATATATATAAGATAGTCGTTTCTACTTTCTTATAAATATTAAATCAGCATTTACAAATTATCATAAGCAATGAGTGCATCATATCCTCCACCACCAGCTTATGAAGACGTTAATAAGAAGTCCGCAAACAAAGGATCTAATTCAAAATGGTATGTAAGAGTTATTTCGTAAAAAGAAAGAATATCTTTGTCTACTTTATCATAGGCAAGCATGGTATAGAACACTAATGACATTAGATTTCAATCAAGATGAAGCAACTGAATATGCAAAATTGTTTGTTACAAATGAAGTTGAAATGAATATGATACCTGAACTCAACGATGATCTTCTTAAATCAATAGGAATTGAAAAAGCTGGACAGTATGTGTAATTGATCGTCATCTTTCATTGAAATATCTTTTTAATATTTAGTCGTATCCGAATTTTACGTTTACAAAAAAAAAGTCCACCTTCAACGCCAGTAACGACTCCAGCTCTATCAGATGTTACAGTAATGAAACTGGTTAATATTTAACTAATTAAAATCAATATTTTTAGATTCCACGATGTTCTTGGCATCCAAATGTAGCAGCTAATGAAAAATGTCGTAAATGTAATCGACTTGTATGTTTAAATTGTCGTCGAGTAAAATCATATGATGGCTATGTACGTTATTATTGTCAAAACTGTTATGACGATTGTACAATTCTATAAATAATCTATTTTTTGTTTGTTTGATTTTAATGAAGAAGGATTAAAGTTAATAATAAAAACTTCACTTAATGAATAGTTTATATAAAATCAAAGAATATAGTCTATGCGGGTGTGGGTGTGTGTGGATAAATATTCTGTTTATATCGACGTC